GCCTTTTCTCATAAGGGGGATGCTCCAGGCCTCTCATCATCTTTGTGTCCCTCCGTTGGACTCTCTAGAAATTCCTTGTCCTGTTTGAACTGAGGAGCTCAGAATTGGACACAGTACACCAAATGTGGTCTCACCAGAGCAGAATAGAGGGGGAGCACCAGCTCCCTCAACCTCCTGGCCACCTGATTATTCCTCCCAGGTGCAGGACTCCACACTCGCTTTTGTTGAACCTTGTAAGATTTCTCTCCACTTATCTCTCCAGCCTGTCCAGGTCCTCCTGAACAGCAGCCCAGCCTTCAGCTGTGTCAGCTACTCCACCCAGCTCTGTATCATCTACAAGCTTGCTGAGGGTGGATTCTACACCTTCATCCAAGCCACTGAGAATATGTTAAATACTTTAAATGTTCTCTTTGACTGGTTTTCAAACTGCTATCTGAGCTCTCACTATTGATCCCTTCCATCTTACACTGACTGCTACATCATAGCATGATAGAATATTTTAAATTTTTCTCTTTCTTACACAATGCAACACAGCAGTCAGTGGACAAGGTTGGGAAAAGCAGCAGACAGTGGTTTCAACTTGCACAACAAAACTTTTTCAAACAGCAGTCTTCCCAGTGTGTACATCCTGAAGACAAAAATCAGCAAGCAAGAGGTTCCCTGACACATTGTGAGGGCTGCAGGATCTTATATCTCAGATCAAGCTTTTCTTATGAATATTCTTAATCTTATTTAATATTTATATAAATTTTTAAACTTCGTTTTTCTGATGAATGAGATTATACCAGTAAGATAATGCATAACAGGGAAACACTCGTTTTCCAGTCAATGTTTTCCAACAAGAACTATAATTCTTTAGGAAGCAGCTGTCAAAGTGTCATCTTGAACATCCTTATTTGCTTTCACAAACTGAAGGGACAAAGAATGAACAGAGACAAGGAGCATCAGGAGAGAAGTTTCCTTGTATCAGAAGCCTGAGAACAGTGTAAACTAAAGCCTGAAGTTTGCAAATATCTCAGTGGACTGAGATAAAAGAAGAGCACATCAAGGAAGTAAAGAAAATCCCATTAGTCATTAGAAATAGAAAGTCTTACAAAAGAGCCTCAAGCACTCTTTTTTTTTGCTAAAAAAGGATTATTTTGTTTTTTTTTTTTTTACTTTTTAATCTATAACAGTCAGTGGTCCATGGGGAATTTTAAAGTGATCTAATATAGGAGTCTAACGGTGGGAATTTTGTTTATGAGATGCAAAAACACATTCGAAAGATAGGCATGTTCTGCATTTAACTGAAAATTCATAAAAGACACTAAAATTTCAAAATTAAGAAAAATATTTTTATTGAATTATTTTTCAGGAAAAGTAAAATCACACTCTACATGTGTTGAATTTTGAAATTCCCTTTTCCAACACACTACAGCTGCCTTCTATTAAGTGGCTCAGTAGGAAAACCCCCCATCTGTCACTTGGTGTGAATCACTGCCCCTGCACAAAAACTCACACATCTAGTGATGAAATCTATTGACGACAAGGAGCTGGAAAGGCATTGGCAAAAGACAACTGTATTGCTACAGAAAATTAGTCAGAAAACCTGAAGCCTGAAGTAATAAAAATGGAATGAAATACTGCAGAAAAGCAGCTGGAATAGGTGAGGTGGCAGGGGAAAAGGAGGGAGTGACTGACATGTATAGAGAGTGCAAGGCTGCTCTTGCGCAAATGTGTGCTCGTGTCTTGTGAAAGAAGTAACTGAAGAGACACATTTTGAACACACAGCTTCATTTTATATTGTAAAGATTCAGAATGAGTAAGCTAGAAGGTGTGTACACCTATTTGCTTTGCTATGAAACTAGAAACCCAACCCTATAAATGTGGTCTTGTCACATGTTGTGCTGGTCAGTTTGGTGCTGAAGACCACTGGCAAGTGGACATCTGGCACACTTACAGAAGTGAGCTGAAGGGACATCCGAGGTTATCTCTGAGTCCATCTCCCTGCCCTGGGGTAGGATGAGTAACACCCATCTGCTGCCTGACATCTGTTTAACCTGTTCCTAAAAACTAGTGATGGAGATCGCAGCATTGCTGCTGAGAACACAACAGTACCCAAATAAAGCTTTGTGGGCTTTACTTCAGACTGGAATTAGCCTGAAACCATGGAATAAACATCCACAGAGGTGATGGAAACATCTCTCAGAACAGTTTCAATCTCAAAGAATCAGACTGTCACACTCTGGAGATTTGCTTCAAAAGCACAGTTTGATCCAATCAAATAGGTGCACTCTACATCCATTGCATGTGTTTCCTATAACCAACATCAAAACAGCTATACTGAGATGTCTTAATCTCAAACTGAATCTCCCTCTGTCATGTAGATAATATAACTAGGAAACAGCACAACTCCCTTTTCATGAGGATTACCTTTCACATATAAGAAAACTTATTATCCATTTTACCCACAATCCCAGTTCTTTAGTATCACTATGAGAATGATAAACTAGGAATACTTGAATTTATATTACTTTTTTTTTTTCTATTTTTTTGCTTTTCTCTAGTCTCTCCTGTAATAATTCCATTTCTTCTGATGTATGGCATCTGAGATAACACACGTCTTCAGCCAAACAGATAAAATCACAGACCTCAGGCATTCCATGCCTGTTTCATATCTCACCACAGCCCTGTCTTTTTGTTTGTTTGTTTTTAAAGATGCATGATTTGCAGACAGAAAGTAGGCTTCTTGAAATCACCTCACTTTTGCTTTTCCTAAAACTAATCAGTTCTAGAAAAACTAAAACTAGTCAGTTTTATTTGTTTCACAGAATCATAGAATCGTTTGAATTTGAAGGGACTCCCCTACAACGAACCCCTACAATGGACACCTACAGCTACATCAGGCTGCTCAGAGCCTGGTCTAGCTTGTCTTTGAATGTATACAGGGATGAGGCACCACCATATCCACTGCTAGGCAACCTCTTCCACCCTTATCATAAATTTATTTTCCTTATATCCAGTCTAAATCTCCTGTTATTTGGTTTTAAACCATTATCCCATTTTTCCTTATCCTATCACAACAGACCTCACTACAGAGTATATTTCTTTCTTTCTTATACACACTCTTTAGATACTGAAAGGCTGCTTTCAAGTCTTCTCAAGAGAGAACAGTCCCAGTTCTCTCAGCCTGTCCTCCAAGGGAGGTGTTCCATCCCTTGTATCATTTTTGTGGCCCTCCTTTGTATGTGCTCCAGCAGGTCTATGTCTCCTCTTGTACTGAGCGCTCCTTATCTGGATGCCTCATCAGTGCCTCTGCAGGGGGGCAGGATCACCTCCCTCGCCCTGCTGGCCACACTTCTTTTGATGCAGCACAGGATACAGTGGGCTTTGTGGTATTGTTCCTATAAATTCTGAAAAAAAAATTGCTACTGATGGTAACATTACAATCGTGATTCCAAGTATTACATACTAGTCTAATGTCTAAAATATCAAATATTAAGGATGTACAACCTAAGAAAACATCCACAGGAAAAAAAAAATCTCAAATCCATTCTCACTCAAATACAGGACACTTTCTAACATTTCCTCTCTCGAAGACAAAAGTGCAATGACCCTTGTTGGCTGTGCCTATGTGACAAGGCCACAGCTCCAGGTGTGTGCCCTGGACATGACCCATGTTGGTCCCAACCATACAAGCACCATCGCTGGGCTTCTAATGTGGAAGGTACATTGTGATTATTATTATTTTTTTTTTTAATTTTTGCTTTTTAGTCAGTTCTCTGGGTTTTGCAATTATCTATGTCTTCTTTGCATGCCTTTTGACATCAGTGACTACAGTTGGATGCTCACACAAGCAGCTACTTTCACCCACAACAGTGGGTTTGTCTTGATTAAAAACCACCACACACAAAAAGGGAACACCCCATAGTTCTTCTCTCTCCTGTCACCGACCAAGCAGGGCAGTTTTAGTCCCTGGAATATTACATCCCGCATTAAAGCTGCAAGGCAACAGATCTCCACTCAACCTGATTTTTGGGACCTCGAGCATGAGAAATCCTGCCCAGCTCCCTGCAGCCCTCCTGAGCCCTGCTCAGCTCCCTGCTCCCAGCCAGGCCTGGCTTCCACCCTGCCTGGGCAGTGGCTGCCCAACTTCACAGGAGTTTCACCAAGCAGGGAGAGTGAGCTGCTCAGTAATGCCTCTGATTTCAAGGAAAGCTTCTTGGGGAGTTGCTAGAAACTACCAGAAAACACCAGCCTGAACCAAACCCAAGCTTTCTTTGGTTTCAGGACATTCAGAACTTGCTTCTAGCACGGAAAGCTGTTGCATAGGACAAAAGGTCTAAAGATTGAGAGCAGGGAAGGGGAAAACTCATGTATCTTGTATTTGTAAGAGTTTCATATATATTTTCTCTAAGATTTCCAGTAAATGTTACGGACAATCCATTTTCCCTCCTGGCACGGCTCCTTCCAACAGGTAACACAGTTTACAGACAGTACACTGAACAAGAAGATGACAGCAGCACCAACTCCCCTAATCCTCCGGGAGCCTCGACAAAACCCACCTATCTCCAGACACAGGGACGCTCCTTTCATAGCCTTTCCCGACTTTTCCCAACTTTCGGATCTTTCTTTCATCTCCCTCCCAGGAAGCGAACACGAGAGCTGCCAAACCTCGACGGGAAGCGCCCTCCCCACGCCCCGCGCCCGCACACGGCCCCCGGGGCACCGCGTAGCGCCCGCGCTTCCCTCCCTGCTCCCATCGTCCGGCCCAGCCCCAGGCAGGGACTTACCAGCAACGCCAGCAACGGCACCACCGCCGCGCTACCCCGCGACATGGCCGCCGCCTGCGCGCCGCGCCCGGGACGGGGTCACCTCCTGCAGCCGTCAAGGGAAATGGAGGCGGCCCGGCGAGGGGCGCGCTAGTAGCCGCGGATGGGTGGAGAGAGCAGCCGGGGAGCGCCGGGGAGGGGGCAGGTAGCGCCCGTCTCGCCCCGCCCGGCCCCGCCCGGCCCGGCCAGACCTCGGAGAGCCCCCGGTACCGCCCCGCAGAGAAAGGGCCGACAACCAACCGATAAATCAATGAGTGACTGATAGAAGATACACTCGTGGGAAAATGAAACGGTGAGCTGTTTTAGCGCGGCTTCTGACAGTTCCCGTAATCCTCTGTTTAACGTGCTCCCAGCTATATCCTTCCTGCTCCTATCTGGCAGAGATCTCTCCTGGATACACCTCATTAATTGATGTTGACAAAGACATAACTGCTTATTCATGATGGCGAAATAAGTAAATACCCTTCCTGTACATCCTTTGTTATAGGATGTTCTTACCTGATTGGTCTTTCTAAGATCACACTCAGTTGTTATAATTAATTTTGGAAGCAGCTGGTCATAGTGCTACCAGATCATAGTGCTCACCAGGGAACCAGCCTTACTGCAGTCTTCTCAGTGACACAGAATCACAGCGTCACAGAATGGCCCGGGTTGGAAGCGATCTCAAGGATCATGGAGCTCCAACAGCCCCCCCTTCTCCCTCTTGGCCACATGCAGGGCCACCAACCTCCACATATAAGACTAGACCAGGCTGCCCTGGGCCCCATCCAGCCTAGCCTTGAACATCTCCAGGGACAGAGCATCCATAACCTTTCTGGACAGCCTGTTCCAGCACCTCACCACTCTCATAGTAAAGACACTGCATTCCCCTCGTGTGTATTGTAACAATCTATGGTGAACAGAATCACAGAATTGCAGAATCATTAAGGTTGGAAAAGACATCCAAAGTCCCCTAGTCCAACCATCATCCCATTCCCGCCATGCTACATTACTCAGTGCCACATCTCAAAGTTTCTTGAATGCCTCCAGGGTCAGTAACTCCACCACCTCCCTGGGCAACCTCACCACTCTGAGAAGAAATTTTCCTAATATCCAGCCTGTATTGGAAGGGACCCATAAGGATCATGGAGTCCAACTCCTGGTTCCACATAGGACTACATAAAAATCAGACCATATGACTGAGAGTGTTGTCCAAACACTCTTTGAACTCCAACAGCTTGGGTCCATGACCTGGGCAGCCTGTTCCATGCCCACCATCCTCTGGCAAATAACCTTTTCCTAATAACCAAGCTGCCCCTCCCCTGACACAGCTCTGTGCTGTTCCCTCGAGCCCTGTCATTGTCCCCAGAGAGCAGAATTCGGAGCTACCCCTTCACTCCCCTCACAAGGAGCTGTAGGCCACTGTGAGTCCTCTCAGCCTCCTCTGCACCAGGATGAGAAAACCAAGGGACAACAGCAACTCCTCACACACCTTGGTCTCTAGACCCTTTACTATTTTTGTAGCCCTCCTTTGGACACTCTCAAATAGTTTTATGTCCTTTTTGTATTGTAGTGCCCCAAACTGCACACAGTAGTCAATGTGAGGCCACACCAGTACGGTGTAGAGCAGAACAAACCTTCTCTCAGCTGGCTGGCAATGCTGTGCTTGGTGCACCCCATGATATGGTTGCCCTTCCTGGCTGCCTGGGCACACTGTTGACTAATGAGGGACACTTGCTGTTGACCAAGAGTTTAGGGCCAGGTGTGCAGTTTGGGGCAGATCTAGCAACCAACATGACAGGTGTAGCTAATATTAGCCAAACACTGAAGTTCTCTTTTAGTAATTTTTGTTTAAGATAAGTGACATAGAGCATGTCTTGGAGAACATATTTATAGTTCTTACAGTTCTATAGTATTCTATTTATTTATAGTACTTTTAATATGGTGATTTATAAGTAGATTCCAATCCTAGTCTGATGCTTAAGCATAGCTTGAAAGCATTTCATTGCATCAGATGGCTGTCAGGGAAGAACCTTGATTTGCAGCTTTTGTCTTAATCTTTCAATTGGCTCTGTGGAGTTCTGAAACAGCTTTTAGTTGCCTATCCAGTGCACGGTTAAAGATGTGTTAGCAAACATGCATTTACAATCATTCGCCATTTTTGAATGCTGATACGATGGAATAAAAAGTTAATTTAATTTTCTTTGAAATATCCTTTGCACTGCTTTCCATTAAAAAGGAAATTTCATCTAGCAGCTTGCCTACAACAAGACCAGAAGCTCTTCTGCACATTATTATTTTTTTTTAACAGATTAAAACAGAAATATTTTAAATATTATGAAACTTCTGTTCTCTGGTATGGAAAACTATTTCATATTTTACAGAAGGAAAACATCTGATGTTTTGAAATAAGCATCAAGGAGCATCAGTTTGCTTCTAACAGCTCATAGCTGTGCCAGTATCCCCTGAAGTTGAATTTCTAGCTCTTATCCACTTTAAACTGGCAGCTGCAAAACTGTCCTCCTCCCACCACAGTTCTGACCCCAAAGCCAGCATGCATGGGAGGATCTGTGCAGCATTAGATCTTTGTTTTCCTTCTGGAGATAGCAGCAGTTCAAAGTTCACAGTCTCCAGAGAACAAAGAAAATTCACCGCTGCTTTTAAAACCTTAAAAGCAGCCAAGCCCTTCTTTAGTGCTGGCCCAGGAAAGGGGCTCTCCAAGATGTACAGCATGCATCAGGTGCTATTTTCGTGAAGTACAGATGTCTGCTGGCATTCTCTCTCTAGGCTTTGAATGAATTATCTTCTAAAACAATGCATATCTTTCCTGCAGAGATGGAGTGCTTGCTTCCAGAGCTGGTAATTGTCAGCACAAGCATCCTGGTGAGGTATGGTCTCACCTATGGCCTCTGTGCAAGGGGCTTAGTGACTCACCCCGCCTTGCCTGGTCCCAGTGTGGCAGCCACTCCCTCTGTGCTGAGGGAGCGGCTGGGGCAGAGGACAAGGGCATGCTTTTGATCAGCAGAGTCAAGCTCTGCCTCTTACAAAAGCAGAGATGATCCTGCTGTTGCCGTTGAAAAGTAGGTGTTTTTTATTTGCTTCCTCCATAAAAAAGTTGAGTTTTTTCTTTTAGTCAAGAGATCCAATCACATGACCGAAGTGCAGTATTTAGCAAGTGGGATTAAGACGGAAAATCCAGCATATATCCTCAGCAAATAGATGTTTAAATCTCATCATGATTCATGTTGAACTATTATGAAAATCTTTCCCATTGTTTGAAACTATTTCCTGAAACTTTTCTGCATTGTTTAAAGATTCTTTACTGCATAGAAGCCCCAGCTTCCACTCAGCTGTAAAAAAGATACCAGAAGAAAGTAGTGCATCAAGGCTCCACTTGTATAAAAATTACATTTAGTTATTCGAAATATCATAGAATCATACAGTAGTAGAATGGCTTCAGTTAGAAAGAACCTCAAATCTCATCCAATCTGTCCTTGAGTGCCTCCAAAGACAGGGCATATGTTAAGGATGTTGTAGATTCTGTGAAAAAATGTGCATGTTGCAGAGAAGTATCCCAAAGCCCTCGTGGCTCCTGGCATCAGTAGTCCTATCAGTGATAGCTCTCATCTCCTATATGCTTGCATGACCATGGCCCCTGGTGGGACAAATAAAAGTAGAATAAAATAATACAGAAGTACATTAGCTCCAGGGTTTGGTGCTTTCAGTAAATATTTCACACTCTCAGAATGGAGTCATTGTTTTCCTATGTGCAATAACTCTAATTCTGACTCTCCCTGCATTTTGCCCACTCTATACAAAAAATTTTGCTGTTCATTGCCTTGTAATCATTAGAAATAAACTCTCCATTTCTTCAGTTCTATAGTTTTCTTCTCCTTTCCTAACAGCCAGGCTGTGGAACCCACCAGGTGCGCAGCTGCAGCAGTGAGTAATCTTGCTGAGCTGCAGGTCTGGCTGGGCTGTAACAGCATGCACCAGATTCCTGCCTTTATCACGGGCGTTTTGTTACTGCCTGACAGCACTGGAATACAAGGCCTTTTATGTATGTAAAACAAGGAGTGGCAGAACAACTCTCCTGTTGTTTCCCAGCTGCGTAGCAACCCAGCCTGCTCTAGAGGTGCCTATAGACCTTGTTTTTCAGGGCACTGTGACTTATCTTTCTGGGAAAACTTACATAACAGACAACGTTCAGGCAGGTACAAGCTATTACTCAAGATCCTGCTGTGCAGCTGGTAGAAATATTAGCCTTTTTTTTTCTTTTTTAAGTCCATGAACACTAATAAGTGCTATAAATACAAACTATAGTTGAGAAAAAGACTGCTGTGAAAAATTTCACTTGTGCTGTGGGAACCATATCTTCTGGTCTTACTTATCAGATCCAGTGTCAGCTGCTATAGTGCACCACTACTGTGAAGGATTTCAAGAAGTGTAGATATAGACATAGGCATTCTCTGATCACGAAAAAGACAGCATGTTTGATCTTTTTTTTTCTCATGTCACAATTCAGATACATGAGCTAATACGTTTACTGTGTATACCATTACACTAATTCATCAGATAACATTAGAAGTGTTTGGCTTAGCAAAAATAAAGTCTTAGTTTTAAAGAAAAGTACAGGCATGAAACAAGATATTAACTGATCTGAGGTTTAGACTGACAATTAGAAGAAAATCAAGCAAATCAGTGGTGTTTAGGGTAACTGTCTGTTGGAAGTGTGAGGACAAAAGCTCAACTGTTTTTTGGCAGATTTTGTCAACTAATGGAGATCCTGCAATGTAGCTGCTAGTTTTTAAGGAAGTGGATGACTTCACAGAGAAGGTTCCTTCACATTTTATTTTCTAAAGGCAATCTGAAAGTTTTGTTGATGTGCAACAAATCATCAGAGTGCTTTGCTGAAAGATACAGTCTTAGCACATAGCTGGGTTGTTTGAGAGTGCATGTCTGTCAAATCAGTGAGAGTAGGAGATGCTGATGCATTAGGATATGTCTTCACTACATTTAAGATTCTTAGAATCATTACAGCATTCATCTATGTATGAAAACCTCTCATTAAATTACAGTGATGATAGTATAGCAGAGAGGATAGCTTTGACCTCTGGCTCTACTTTTATTTGTACTGTTGGCTTATCTGCATTGCAGGCTGACTTGTTTAGTGCTGATACTTTTCAAGTGCCTGCACTGAATTAGTAACCTGAGTTCACAGCCCTTCAGGGAGAAAGAGCCCTACAAAACCCTGCTTGTGCCAGCTGCAAAGAGCTAAGACCACCTGGAAAGATTTAAAAGACACTTCTATGATGTCACGTGCACTAAACTGACACTAATTTCACCTGAAATCGGTTATGTGAATACAGCTGTAGTAAAGTTCAGAGTCTGAAATTCACCAAATGCTCATATGGAAAGAGAGCAAAGAGGACTTTTTCTTTCTATAACATTCCCCTTTTAAATTCATCAAGCCCATGCTTTATCATATCATTTTTCTCTGCTGTACATAAATATATATTAAGATCAGAAAATTAAAAAAAAAAAAGAGAGAGAGAGAGAGAGAGATAAGGTATTCTGGGATTGTTCAGCCTAAATAAGAGAAGACTGTGAGGGGATCTTGTCAATATCAGCTGGTTAGAAATCAAGTAGATGGGACTAGGCTCTTTTTGGTAGTGCCCAGCAAAGGGCTAAGGGTAATGGGTGCAAACTTGAACACGGGAAGGTCCATATGAATTTGTGGTAAAAATTCTTTACTTTGAGAGTGATAGAACACTGGAACAGTCTGCCTGGAGAGGGGTGGAATCTCTTGCTCAGGAAAGAGATTCCTGCCTACTTTCCTATGCAACCCAGTTTAGGGAACCTGCTCTAGCAGTGGGTTGGACTCAATGATATTAGGAGGACCCTTATAACTCCTACAATTCTGTGATTAACCTTGCACATGGACATCATCTCACATACACCCATGGTGGTGGGTTAACTTGAAGGCATGTTCATAGAAGAGTTTTCCACATGAGCAAATACTAAAACCTATGCATGTGGACTGACAGTACTTCATGACAAAACAGCGCTGGCCTTTCAATTTTTATGTTCCTATTTTTTGTACAGTCCTTAAACAAAACAGTCCTCTACAGTTTGGATAAATATTATTTGAGCAGCTGAAAGAGGAACAAGCTTGATCTTTTTATTACTCTCTCTTCCCTTGGCAGTAAAGAAACAGCTTAAAATTCATTGATGAGAAATAAATTACAAAATTGTTTCATGCCAGTATACTGCCATAAGTATTTACATTTAATGTCTGAAAACTGCCTCAGCATTTCCTAGTATTTCTACATCAGGAAGAAAAAAAACAAGAAAGTAAGAACATCATTAATTAAGTGCATTTGAAAATGAGGAAGAATAATAATATTCACTGTTTTGCAATTAATTAAGCTCCTTCCTCGTCTTTCTGTTTTCATTTGGAGAGTCAGGGAGTGCAGATGGGCAAAAGAGACATTAAGAAGGAAATCCATTATTATTCAGCTGGGAAAATTGAGCTCTGCCACATGAAACTGTAAGTTGAGAAGTCACCTCAAGTAATTCCTTGTCCAGATTCTTTACTGCAGGTTGTGTTTGGGTCTTCATTTATGACTTGTGACTACAATGCATAAATTCATTTCAGTAGTTTCTGCTTGCATTTTCAGTTGGGCAAATGTCCACGTGGGCTTGGGCTGCCCAAATATTGCAGTTCAAATGTTGTTTGTTCTCTTTCTTCTCTTTCATCTACAGATTTTCTGAAGCACTGTTTCAGAGATGAGGAACAGACGAGTATCACAGGGAAGGCCATCTAGTGGGAAAGAACAATACAGAGAATTATTATTTGAGGAAGTTGTCCTGTAATTCCAGTGGGATGTGAGAAAAAAATTCTGTTGTGAAAACTTAAAGTATCTTAACCATTTTGACACATGAAATAGTTTTACCTTGGGATACCCCAACTTTTTAAATCCTTTTTCTTTTTTTTTTTTTTTCCCCTGAAAGAAAACTAAAAATGGGTACTGTGTGTACAAACCTTCTGTTTTAAAGAAAACTACGTTTTCCACTGATTGATGAAAAAAAATCCCAAGTCAGTCTACTCACAGTTTGTTTAAAATGATCATTTATTGTATCTTTTTCAGAGTCATTCAGAAATTTTTACAGGCAAAACTCTAATATTTTTATTTATGAAAACGCAATTACACTGCACTATTACTTGTATACTTAAAGTAGAACGAAAATGCATTTGGTTACTCAGTAGGAAGGAATGTTTGAACTAAGCAGTTGTACTAATTCAAGCAAAATGCCAGGCACTTTTGGATTTTTGCTTAGATTTAGTGGTCTTTTCATCTTGCAAGTAGTACAATATGCTGCTCACAGCAGCTTGAATGTGTTATTTATTACCACAAAATCAGAGTAGAGCAAAAAAAATCAATGCTGTGAGTTTTGATTGAGAGAGTGATCCCAAGACAATAATCTACTGAGATCCCCAGCTTGTAGCTCTATTCACTTCCTGTGCCATATGCTTTTTGCTCCACAAAGGTCTCAGTGAGCCTCTGGAAGACTGTAAGATCCTGCATCCAAGTAAAGAAGTTACAGACTTGGTGTGGCATTCTGCTGGTACTTTATTAGGAGTGCTTTGCTGAATAGTTTATAGCAGGATTGAGATCACTATTATATGTTATTTTTCTTCCCTGAAGTCCATTCATGTTTCTTTATTAAACAACAAGATTAAAGCCAGTCAGCAGACAGGCTTCTAAATTGTAGTTGAATAAAAAGAAGAAAAAATATTGTCAGTTAGTCAGAATAAATCTATATGCTGTTTTTTAGTAATAAAGCTAGAAAAAGAATTTGCACTGAATATTAATGAACAGCGTATTTGTTCACATCTTTGATACACTGTTGTTCTACAGCTTGTAGTAATCTCAACATTTCAAAGTCTCAGTAAAAAAAGTTGTAAGAAAGTCTGTAAAAAATATGCAGCAGTAGAAATTAATATTCAGAAATGCACTGTGGGATTATGTGATTGCTGCTTTATTGCCAATCATGAAAATATAAAAAAGTAAGATTTTTTTCTGAGAATTTTTATTAAATAATAATCTAACAATCTTCTAAAAAGTCGGGAAAAGACAGTGCTAATAAATAGAGAACCACTACATTACCAGAAGTTGTGATTTAAGAAAAGTTTTTTCGCTATTTTTTCTTCCCCATTCTACTAAAGATGCAAGCAATCGGAGTCAGTTTGCACATCCAAACCTCACACAGCATTACTGTTAAGGAGCTACAAAGGATTCAGCATCTGCTCCTGGAATCTGAATTTATACCTTGGAACACAGCTAGGAAATATATTTCTTATTTGAATATCATGATTCTGGAAATATTTACAAAAAATGTTTTGTTTTTTTTTTACATTAAAAATATCCTTAATGGGCCTTGGCTATATTGCATAGGCTTTCTAAATGTACAGAGTGCCCTTGATATTGGAAATATTTGGGGTTTTTTTTGTGTTTTTTTTTTTGTTTTGTTTTGTTTTGTTTTGTTTGTTTTTAATGCAAATAGGTGTTCAGTGAGACAAAATGGATCTTGTCAGTATTTTAGTGAATTTTAGTATGTAATACCAGATTTCGAGACATACATATAAAAACATACAGCTTTATATATTAGTTACTATTTTCCTTTCTTAAAGAACACTTCCAGAAACCATTCTTGCAGTAGCTACGAACATACAGAAGAGAACAATTCCACTGAAATCAACATAATTTTAGTGATAACCAAGGCTTCAGGATGAAATGAAAGTAGCATTACTTCAGATGCAAGGAAGAGAGCATTTGGCATGCTCAGTTGCTTCCAGGAAAAGCTTGAAGTTCTGTAAAATCCCTTTCTCAAGATAGCCTTGGATTTGGCAGTGACTCCTGAGGAGCACTGTTGTCAATTGCTGTAGCATTGACTCTGCATCTTGTCTTCGAGAGCATATCTGGTTGCATTTCTGAAAGCATCATTTAAATAGTTTGCTCTTGACATGAAGTCAGAAACTTGTCATCCAGTTCTGAGATGAGTTAATCTGGATATGAAAATTTCTTCTTTTTGTTGAGTGGGAAGTTCACAGACAACTCTTCAGCTTTTCACTAACCTGTCTATCAAAGCTGAAGTAGCAAAATTTGAGGAAAAGCACTGATCTGGTGATCTAGCAAAACAAGCCAATCCCCCCATATAACTCTGATGTATTTACACTGAAGCAATGTTGCATACACCATGCTTACTATACATATGATACAGAAATAAGATGAGATAGATACTATATTTCAGTATTTTGCTCCTTCAGATCATATTGTAAAGTGTGTTAAGGTATTACTAGAATAAGAGAGTCCAGTAGAGCTGTTTTTGTGGGAAAATAAAAGCCGGATTTAATTAAGATTATAGAATCAAAAGACTTTTTCAATTAACACATTCAAATACACTTTCAAAATATCAATGCAAAATACATTGACACATGAAATAATAATTCTCCACATTGCATATTTGCAAATTTATGTTGTTCCCAAGGTTTTTTTTCGTTTTCACGAAGATCTTCAGCTACCACTATCAGTATTACAATACTTGCTGTTGCCTCCCCACATCACAAAGCTTTTATAACTTCGTTTTCTTGGCAGTATTTGAAAAGAGAACTGCATGTTATGTTATAGTCTTCGTAAAATAACATTGTGTTGGAGACTTAAATTGTAGTCATAGTTTGGCACAAAAATCCAGCTAAATGCTCCTGTTTATCACCAAAGTCCTTCTAGATTTAATTAAAGTTATAATGGTATTCATGAAAAGATGAGCCAGCAACTTCTTTGTTGACAGCATCGATGTTGCAGCTCCAGCTGCAACAAATTCTTGGCCACACTCATGGCCATGAACATTTACAAAATAGAAGGTCATAAAAGAGTGTGAGTTTCACTGAGAACTTTAGTAAGCTATGAAAAAGTATTGCATTTATATGATCATTACATTTAACTTTTGCTGGTGATAAGAGAAATGATTCAAAGTGCCATTTTGCAGCGCACCTGGAATTACATGAAAAGTGATACATTTGAAAGTGCTTATTTAGTCTTGTATTGACTAATTATTAATTGCTTTCTTTTTCTATTTTGTCAGTAAAGAGCAATCAACCTAAATCTGCTTACTGTGGGAAAATGCTTAGCAATATAGTATTTTAACACTCTTCCATCTTACATTAATTCATGCTGGTACTGCATGCATGCAAAGATTCCCTCTCACTGATCTGCTTAGTAATCAGATATCTCTCCAAAAACATTAGTGTCTGTTTGTACACGCTTACAGCTCTGTGGAGAGAGAGCAAAATTTAGAGCTAACATCAACTTTCCTTTCACTGACAAAGTTTTTGACCTCGTAACAGGGCATCCTTCTGAGATCCTTACTGAAGGAGGAATCCCTGTAATTTCAGTGCTGTGTGCTAGTTATAAATAATGACAATATTCTTGGTGGGTGGCAGCTAATAGGTGTTGGTGCAAGTGGTGATTTCACTGGGGAGGTGCGCTGTCAGGAGCCTTACTGGCTTGAGTATTGCACGGTGCTGTACTTTGTCACTCTTCTCCGGGAGGTGCCAGGGGATGCTGTGCCCATTGCCTGACCAAGGTGACAGTCAGCATTGAGCATTTGGCCCGTGCTGCTCAGTCCACCCAGGCTGGCTCCTCCTAGTCCTCCCCCTGCCAGGTTGCTCATCCCAGACCCTGACACTACCCTCTCAGTGACCACCACATTGTGGGCATTGGATAACTCTGAGGGAATATTTATTAAGCTGCCTGGCATCCCAGAGGCAGGCCTGAACACCCTTTCTGTCACCACCACGTTGGACCCATCTACCAAATCAGGAATGCTCAGAGATGCTGGGAGCCGTGAGTTAGGCGCAATGACTCTTTCTGTGACGATTACGTTGGACCCATCTGCAAGATCAGGGATATCTAGCATGCCACGCAAATCAGAGGCAGATGCGGGACCAACAACCCTTTCTGTTACAACAACATTGGATGCACGCAGTGGGTCAACACAAAGAGAGGGAGAACCAGAGGTGTAGGTCTCTGTCACCGTCACATTGCCGTGGAGCAAAGGATCAGGCCGTGGGGGCTGAACGGTAGATGCAGATGTATAGGTGTTTTCGGTAACAACCGTGGTAGTGCCGGCTGGGGGAGCCATAGGTGCAGATCCGTTGACAAGGATTGTGGTTCCAGGTGGTGGGAGGTTTAGGTCACATTCAGAGTTGGGGAAGGTGACGTTAATGCCTGGCCAAGGTGGGTTGGCGTCAGGGAATGGTTCGATCTCCTTGCCCAGACAAATCTCTGCCAAAGTCTTAAATTTTGGTCCTAAAGTTTCCAAGTATGTTTCATCTGTATCTTCTCCAATAAAGCTGCAGCAACCAACAGAGCCAACAGGAGTACCTATTCCTTCATGATCGTATATTAATAGGCAGTCATTTGCTGGCCGACCTTCATCTTCATCTGCATACACAAATGCTTTCTGTAGTTTGCAAAAACAGAAAAGTAAACAGTGTCAAGTTTTTAACAATGATGGCTCAAACCATAGAGAGGTTTCCTTACTGCAGTAGGGCCTAGCTGACTCAAAAAGAACATCACAGGATAAAAAAAAAATCATCAAAAGTTTTTGACCTTGAAATAAGCTTTATCCAAATGCTACTCCTACTTTCTTCTTGTTTCTGCAAACACTTAATATCTCAGATTTCGTTAAAACAGTTACTGCAGAGACTTGAGACTTTTATATAAAAAGAAGTACATCCTAGCAATAATTTTACTAGATATTTCCTACCTTCTTGCTCCCAGAATCTTATCCAAAGTTTTTTATTTTGATAAAAAGAATCCTTTGTTAAAATTTTGAAATGGAGGGAGGGGATAGCACAAACAGAGCTAACCAAGACAGCCAAGGAATGGTGGTATCGGTCTGCTGACAGCAGGTCTGACTGTGGGCTGAATGGAAAGGAACACACTTCTGGGGCAGCTGTAAGTAGTAGGAAAGTAGTAGGAAAAGAACTGAAGCAGGGTAGCGAGGAGAGCAGCAAAGAAACCAGGACAGAGGGAATGAAGTGACAGTTGGCCACAGTGAAGAAGGCATGGTGTGCCTATCGGAGAATCCATTTTGAGCAGAAAAGGGATTGATGCTTTGGGATGAAGTTGATGATGATGGGATGATCATGAAGAAGAGAAAGAAGGAAAGAGCTGAATTTAAAGAGGGGTAAGGTTGAAAGACATAGTGAAAGACAAAAGTGGAGGATCAGGAGGGAGAGGAGAAAGGGAGTTGGGAGACTGAGACTGTCAGCAGAAGGGGTGATTTGTGGGGATAGATATGGAAAGCAGAAAATTAATACACAGTTTTCCTAGGCCAGCTGTGTAGATCACAACCTTGGAGAAATCAGGGGTCTGGTATTGGGGCTCGTCCTGCTCAGCATCTTTACTGATAACTTGGATAAGTGCATTGAGTGCACTCTGTAAGTTTGTATATGACACCAAGTTGGGAGGAAATGGTGATCTGCCTGGAGGTCGGAAGGGTCTACAGTGGGATCTGGACAGGCTGGATAGCTGGACTGAGGCCAATGAGATGAAGTTCAACAAAACCAAGTACTGAGTCCTGCGCTTTGGTCACAGCAACTCCATGCAATGCTACAGGCTTGGGGCAGAATGGCTGGAAAGCTGCACAGAGGAAATGGAAATGGAGGTATTGGCTGATGCTCAGCTGAACATGATCCAGCAGTGTGTCCAGATAACTAAGAAGGTCAATGGCATCCTGGCTTGTATCAGAAGTAGCGTTGCCAGTCGGAGCAGGGAAGAGATCAGAGGCTGCACTTTGAGTACTGCCCTCAGTTTTGAGTCCTTCACTACAAGAAGGACATTGAGGCACTTGAGCATGTTCAGAGAAGGGCAACAAAGCTGGTGGGGGTCTGGAGCACAGATGTTATAAGGAGCAGCTGAGGGAGCTGTGATTGCTCAGTCTAGTAAACAGGAGGCTCAGGGATGACCTTATTGCTCTCCACAACTACCTGAAGGGAGGTTGCGTTGAAGTGGGAGTTGGCCTCTTCTCCCACATAACTCGCAATAGAACTAGAAGGAATGGCCTCAAGTTGCACCAGGGGAGATTCAGGCTGGATGTTAGGAAATACTTCTCCAAGAGAGTGGTCAGGCACGGAAAGGGCTGCCCGGGGAGGTGGTGGTGTCACCGTCCCTGGAGGTGTTCAAGAGGCATAACAGTGTTGTACTGAGGGACATGGTTTAGTGGGAAATATTGGTGCTTGGTGGATGGTTGGTCTGGATGATCTTGTAAATCTTTTCCAGCCTTGGTGATTCTATGATTCTATGCAATCTGTGCTCAGGACTTCAGGACTGATATTTCATCTTTTACACTGAATCTTGCATAGATTCTGAAATACATTAATCCTTACATGCATACTATTTTTATATGATTTTGAGTTTTACATGTGATTAAAGTACTGTGTCTTACATGTAGTACATGCTAATCATAAAAATATATCCCATTAATCATGTAAACTCCATATGTAAAGGCTAATTAACATTTTCGTGATTAAAAGTAGTGTATTTGTGTCATATGCTGTTCACAAGTCTTTTAGGGAGCAGAAATGGCAATAAAAATATGGAAGAAAGTGAACCGTCAATTACAGTTCTCTAAGAGTTAAAGTTACAAACTTAAACAATCTCTAAAGTAATTGTGAACAACTTCACATTGTAAATATCTATTTATATACTGAAAATTAATAGATTTGATGGTCATTTATTAAGTTTATGTAATTTAATTACTTGCCCATAACCACAATGTATCCATCGATTTTACAAAAAGGAATCCTACTGAGTAACTAAGACTCATATGCTAACAACTCCAAAGCAGCAAATCCTTTTTTTTTTCTTTTTTTCCTATTAATACAATTAGCTTCTCATGGCAGTTTCATGGATGGTTTTAGATTTAGTGTATCATGGAAGTTTCAGTAGAGTGGAATTATTTATCATTAGAAATTGAAATGGGCTGTCCATGGAAGTGGTGGAATCACCAAACCAGGAGGTATTTACGAGGTGTGCATATGTGATTCTTAGGGTTTAGTGGTAAACTTGGTAGTGTCAGTTTGATGATTGGACTTGATGATCTTAAAGGTCTTTTCCAACCTAAATGACTCCATGTTTCTATGATTCTGTGTTTCTATGATTCTACAATTTTGTGTTTCCACAGTCTCACTTTTGGAGGAGAGTGTAACAACAGTCTCACATATATAGCACAAAAAAAAAGACCATGTCATTACCTCAGAGAAGTAGTTGTCTAGGAAGGCCATGTTCACCCCTCCTTCTCGATATTCTTTTATTGTTCCTCCAACTGATCCTTTTGCTTCCCCAGTTCCAG